AAGCCTTGGGTTGTTAATGTCTTGTTTATATCCTATTGAACCCACTGCATTGAGACTTCCTGAGAGTTTCGCCATCTTGGAACTTTGGTTCCAAATAATTTCCATATGATAGCTAAGGGAGAATTTAAGTCCATTGCCTCTCTTTCTTTCTCAGAGAATAAAAAAATCAGTCTCCTGGTTTACATCTGGAATGGGACAGCTCATGGAAGGCATGTGCCTTTAGGACATTCTGAACATTTCCTCAACAGAGGAGCCAACAAAGAGAACAGCTGTCCTCCACAGAGTTTTGACACTTCTGGTCTGAGCAACTTTGTAAAAGCTGAACAGAAAAAGAAAAGCAGAGAAGCAAGGAGAAGGAGTAAAAATGAAAAGATACAGCATATTTTCCCCAAGCAATGGATTCATTATGACATTACAGAGAAGAGATTCAAATAAGACAATTCTGTTATCCAAACTTGAAATTTTAATTATTACACCTCTGGTTCACAGTTGAAAATATTAGTCTTTCTTTCCCCATCTCTCTTCGCTCCCCTCAATTCTGCAATTTAATGTAATCATATCATTGGGGTCATTGCTTTCCTCATCTGTCACATTTTTTGTTATTTTATTTAAATTTGGAATTAGGAAATTCACATTGAAATAAAACATCTTGTTTCCTATGGCTGAAAGCCAGAAAGAACTTGTCTTGGGAAGGCTGATTACAAAACACAAATAGTGTTTGGGTATGTCTTTCCTACTTGATTTCACCAAATGATTAGTAACTAATTATGACCAGGTCACTAGACCTGTGCATACATAGGAACTCATATCATGGGTATCTTAATCGATAACATATCCATAATAAAACTGGTATTTATTAGGGAAGTTCGCATTTCAAATATGGCAGCTGAGGTTAATAAGAACCCAAGGTTCGAGGGTGAATAAAATTGCCCTTGGATAAAAGATGAACACTTGCCTTGTGTCACAGAAGTTACAGCCTCTGTCCTGCCTCTGCCTACACCGTCTGTGTCACGGGCCCAGGACAGGGCAATGATACGATACTGGTCCTTGGAAAAATACTCAAATGGCAGGTTATCCCCAAAGAAGCTTAACTACTTCCTGATTACCATCTTCTTGAGGCCAACATCCAAAATGGCGAACTTGCTGGAGAGGGTTAGTCAAGGGACATTTCATAAAAGAAGGAAATTTCCACGAAGTATTTGATAAGAGTTGCTGCTGCTGCTTGGTCACTAAGTCGTGTCTGACTCTTTGCGACCCCGTGAACTGTAGCCCGCCAGGTTCCTCTGTCCATGAATTTCCCAAGCAAGAACACTGCAGTAGGTTGCCATTCCCTTCTCCAGGGAATCTTTTCAACCCAGGAATCAAACCTGGGTCTCCTGCATTGCAGGCAAATTCTTTACTGTCTAAGCCACCAAGGAAGCCCGATATGATAAGAGGAAGTTATCCTCAGATTCAACTGTTTATGTGCATGGTAACTCTCCATGAAGATATCCCAAGGAAGGTAAGCGGGTCACATCTCTCTGGAAGGACACCTGTTCTTCTCCCATCACCCAGGTTGAAGATTTCAAGTCTCCATGCCTCTTACTTTTCCCTGGCTTCCCTTGTCCAATTAGTCAACAATTCTTGTGGATTATTTTTAGCACAAAAGGTCACTGATGTTTGGCACTCCTGTTCTAGTCCATCCTCTCCACAGATACCTGATTGATTTTCCTAATATATTGTTTAAATCTTATCAATCTTCTGCCATTTTCAAGAAGAGAGCAAGAAAGAAGCTCCTGACCCTGGCATCCAATATGCAGCCTGAACAAAACCCTCATCACTCACCTCTAATAACCAGTTGAACCTCCTGTCCTTGTCAGATGCATCTTGTCCTCAGTCCCCAAATATACTTCAATTTCTTGCCATTACTCCTTGAAGCATCTAATCTTTGTCTTTCAAAATCTACCCTTTCTTCACACTTGTCTCAAATTATCTGTGATGACTCTTCTATTGCCCAGCTTGGTAGCTAAACACACAGTCTTTAGAGTCAAGCCTTCTTACAGCTCATATTCCTGGGTCACTAAGAGAATTATTGCAGGCTACTCTTGGGGTCAATATCTTTGGAGGAGGGAAAGAAGTAGTACTGTGCAGAGGGAGAAGTTGCATTGTGACACCATTGCTACAGAGACTTCAGTCAATCCTGGGAGCTCTGGGGGTGGGATGATCCTCCCAGTTTTCCAACTGAGACCAATTTATACCCTTCTCCCACCACCAGACTAAACCGTAGGCAAGGCAGCTTCTTTCAGCCAATGACAATTCTTGGAGAGACCAAGAATCATGAGCAATCAACACTCCTTTCCTGCTCTTGGAGGATGAGTGTCTTTCTTGGTCCCAAAAGAAGGCTGGGCAGCACACAACAGCATCCACTACAGACCTGTTGAGTACCCACTGGCCCTCCCGCTTCTAGCTATATGATTGCAGATAAGTGTCTTAACTTTTCTATGCCTCTGTGGCTTATTTCAAAAGAGAGACGGAAATGATAGTTTCCTTTTTCTCTAAGGATAGGATGAAATAATCCATGCAATACAAAGCTCAAATAAAGAGCTCAAAAATTCTATTATAACATTTATCATCACTGTTACTAGACACTTAAATATGCTGCCTTGTATTGTCATTTTAAAATTTTCATTATGGCTCAGTTCACAATTGTTCACAACACATAACCATTGGGAACCATTGAACTAGTCTCTAAAATCTCTAAGGGCAGAGACGGTATCTTTTTAAATCTTTGTACCACCCCTACCTCCTACACAAGGACATTCATTGTGCATGTGCTTGAATTGATATTTTAGTTTAGCTCTGAAGTCACGCATTAGTAAAGAGAGAAACACATTCAGTATTTAAGAGGGATTTCCAAACCCTAGTTTTGAAAATTGTTTTAGTTTTAAGCTACATTCACTACCAGAACACATGTCTGTTCCAAAAGAGGACTGTTGTGAGACCATATTAATTTTAGCCAAATTCCTTAATTTGTCCCATTCTCTTCCACTTCTCTTCACTGACATTAATTCAGAGCTTCCACACTGCCAGAGCCTTTGTACTAGCATCTTTGCTGTTGGTCAGTCCCTAACTCTGGCTGTTCTCCAAACTGCAGCTAATACTATCATTCCACATCACAAATTTCATGTGCTTCCTTTAGTTCTCTTTTGATTTACAAAAGCATTTGGAAGATCTTTCCAATGGGTCCTCTCAGAGCTTCTCCCCATTTCCCCAGCTTTCTGGTCCCCAGTTAATACCCTTTTTCTCAAATGAATAAATGCCAAGTTCTAGCCACATTGACTTGTTCATATTCTGCAGTATATCATATAGCCTTTCTTGCTTTTTCTTGTCTTCTTCCTTTCCCTCATTTCTCCAATTGGTACAGAATTGGTACTAAATTGATAGTTTATTAATATATTAATACCTATATTTCCGGCATACACATGTTGGAAATTTCCTAAATTCTAAAGTAGTTCTGTGTCTATTGGATCTAAGGAAGGCAGCATCTGACATTCTGAAAAATATATGAATAAATAAATAAATCAATTGTAAAGAAAGAATAGCTTCTAAGAATCCACTCTATACAGACAGCTATTTACAGGTCAACTGAGCTTCTTCAGGTTGGGCTAAAAAGATAATTGTGCAGGTTGGGTTAGGAAGAGAATTGTGCAGGTTGGGCTAGGAAGAGAATTTTGCAGGTTGGGCTAGGAAGAGAATTGTGCAGGTTGGGCTAGGAAGAGAATTGTGCAGGTTGGGCTAGGAAGATAATTGTCATGGTGAGGAGACATGTAGGCTTCTGGTTCATGTCTCAGTCATGATTCTGCATAGGGCTCCTGGGAGTGTGCACCTGGGTCAGTGGTTAAGTCTTTAATCTTGTCGCAATTGAGCATCCAGTTGGCAGAGGTGACTGAAGTAAAGGAAGGTAAGTATCTTTGGTGCACAGTGGTTGGTTTGTTCAGGCTCTTGACCAGAGGGAGATTTGGAGACATCTGCAGAGGGGACTATCCATCAACCAGGCACATAAGTGAAAGGACAAGCCCATGAAAGAAAAACATCACTCTGAAGATGGGTAGCCTGGAGGAGGTGAGGGAAGCAAACCAAACACCCTTCCTTTATGAGTCATTTTTTAAGGTCTTGCTTAAATTTTTTGTTTTAAAAAATTATGATTTAAAAGGTTCAAACAGCCTAGGGAAGTAAATCCATGCATACTTCCCACATTAGTTAACATTTACTAAGAAATCATAGGTTACAACAAATTAAACTTTTTGGCTCTCTTACTGAGGTTTTTTGGCCAACCGTGTTAGTGACTGTTCCTACAGATAGTTTATAACTCTATTTTTTGCCCCTCCAGAGCAACTAAAGTGCAACAAGTCAGGAGGACTCTGGATTCATGTGGTTCTTAAATCAGGACCTTAAGAAAATGGATTGGAGGTGGGGAAATGGATCAATGTGAGCAGGCAGAGACACTAGATATACCCACTCACTCACTGGGAAAAGTGAGTTAGATGTCTCCTTGTTTGAGGTGGAATTCCTTCCTATAAACCTGGGCACCCTCAGTGAGAAATGCTTTACAGTCCAAACTTATGTTTATTTTGGACTCTGTTTCTCTTTCAGCTTTCAGTTCTGACCTTAGGAATGAGCTCACAATTGGAAGCGAATCTGTCTTCTGTTTCTACTGTTAAAGAATTACCTACCCACTGAAAAGCCACATAGTATTAACAATGGCCATGTCCCAAATATAAGCTTCTTGGAATTGTACAAATTGTATTTATGATGCTAGCAGATTTCGGTTTAGCTGCTGAAATATTTCAGTAAGAGGGACTGAATTCTTAGTAAATGAAATGCTTCCTCTGTTCAGTTTTGGTCTGTTGAATGCTGGAAGTTTGGTGAGTCTGATCCATTCATTACATATATCTGGGATGAAAGAAAAGGCCAGCCATTTGGTTTTGATACCATTTTTTTAAATGTATCTCAGACTGAAATCATATAAATAAAAAAAAATGGTCCTTCGAAGTTATTCTTAATCTCCTAGGTGTGTTTCTAGTCTTGAGAAATCGGTGGGGCTTCTGAATACCTGATCGGGTTGTACAGATCTTGATTTATCATATCTCTTGTGGATTGTAACTGATACTGATTCAAAAATGTCTGGTGGCTTCACTTTTCAGCATCACCACAGAGAATGCTAGTGCTTCATTGATTGGATCCTTAAAAAAACAAGTTATCCACACTGGAGTAATACCTCACATTTTCTGGAGAGGGTAGAGAGAAAAACAAATATTTATTGACCCATTTGTCTTTCCAGCAAACTTTTATTTGGCACTAGCCAAATACTGAGCTGAGTGGTTTACATATAACATATAGCTGACTCCTAACAATTCTATGAAACCCATTTTATAGATATGGAAACTGAGACACTGAGGGCTTCAGCAACTTGTAAATGAGGAGCTGAGGTTTAAATTTAGATAGGTCATTAAAAATAACCAAGGCTTTTCCATTAAGTGTTCTCCCTCATAAATAGCTCATGCATATGAAAATACAAACATAGCTAGAGGGACAAAGAATCTGATTTGGGAAGGACCAATTTTCTTAGCCACTAAGGGAATGAGAATATATTGCTGTAGGAAAAACATCTTCCTCTTCTTGATCTGGAGGCTGAACCCATATTTCCTTCTTCTGTCCTCCTTTTCCCACCACCCAAGACGTGTCATGAACTCCCACAGCAGGCAAACTAGGAAACATCATTTTGGGTGTCCTCCTCAGGCATGCCTCTGACATCCTCCCACTTTGAATAGCCTCAAAACATTAAAAAAAAAAGGGATTAAAAAGGGAGTTTTTAAAAAAAGCAGACCTGAAGTTGCACAGAGGCAGCAAAGACATCTTTGAGGTCATTCTCTTTTTTTTTCCCTCTACACTGATGTATTCTCTCCAGAGTGATAATAATCTTTTTTGAAATGCAGGTCTAAGACGGAAGGAATTTTTATCTGGAAGAGTAATATAAATTAGCTTTGACTGCCAGTTTCCACTGATTATTACTTTCCAGGCGGAATTCCTACAAATTCTTGAGGCATGACCTCCAATGAAAAAATAAAACCCCTTTAAAATCTTGTTGAGAAATTCCAGATAACTTTCACAAGAGATTTAATTTTAGAGCATTAACACAATCTTGGTTGGAAAGATAAAACTACAATGCAGTTATTTGGTAAAAGTCATTACTTCACAATGAAGTCATTGGAGATTATTTTACTGTGCTTATCTGTCCCTTCTTCTTCTTTTTTTTTTTCTGCCCTTCTAATTTCAGGCTTTACCAGTTTGTCTTCTCTCATTTTTTGCTAGAACACTTTTTCTAGAACAGGTAAGATCTTTAAGTTTCACTTGTAAAAATTAAAACTACATGCTAGTATTAAAATATTAATGAGTCCGGTTATAAAAACTAAAAGTTGATCTATGGTGGAATCGTTCTGTATCCTGATTGCAGTATTAATTAAAAGTTGTAAAATTGTGTATGTGCACCTGTATGCATGCATACACACACATGCACAAATGAAGAAATTGACTAGTTGTTATGAATTGAAGTTTTTACTTTATTAGCTAGAAGAAAGACTTTTGTCTGAGTAACTGGAAAGATGTTCCTATTTATGAAGAGTAAAGGGTCTCTTATTTATTTGTCAGAAGACAGCTGTATGCTTTCTTTCACCACTCACAAAATGTTTTAATTTTGGATCATGAAGATGCTTCATCTCATTCTTTGATTTCAGTTAATGTATTTTATCCAGAAAGTGGATGAGGAAAAGCCACAGGTCATACAAAATATATCTGATTTCAGATACATCTGGGTGGTTTTTATTTTTAACTTTTAGCTTCTAGTTATGTGTTGACCAGCACATAGCAAAAACTTAGATTGGGAATTTGGCAGGGGTAGCAGAAATAACTAGTAATTCCGACAGTGACACAATTTTGAAGGAGGAGGCTCATGTTAATAAGTATTAATTGTCTTGAAAAATCTACATATGTGACTGACTAGAAATACCTTAAGTGTTGCCTAATTCAGGTATTGGATAAATAGACTGATTTGAATCCCTGGAAGACTAAGACATGCCTACTGAGTTTTTGATAAAAGGAGCAAAACAGTTCCCCTCCTCCNAGCCATTAAAAAGAATTCATTTGAATCAGTTCTAATGAGATGGATGAAACTGGAGCCCATTATACAGAGCGAAGTAAGCCAGAAAGATAAAGACCATTACAGTATAATCTAACTCTTTATTTCTCTAATATACCGTTTAACTCTCCTTTTCCATTCTTGGTATATATTAGCATGTAATTGGAGGATAACTACTTTGCAACATTGTGATGGGTTTTGCCACATGAACGTGAATCAGCTATAAGCACACATACGTCTTCTCCCTCCTGAACCCCGCTCCCACCTCTCTCCCCACCCCATCACTCCAGTTGTCACAGAGCACCGGCTTTGGATGCCCCGTGTCATACATCAAACTCCCACTGGCTATCTAGCTTACACATGGCAATGTGTATGTTTCAGTGCTATTTCCTTTTTATTCCCTGATAATCCATATTTGTTTTGGATAAAAGACTACAAAATAGAGATTAAAAAAGCAAAGAAAAAACTATGATTGTGACTCTGTGTGTGTGTTGAGGATAGAGATTCTAACCAGAAGAAGGTATGACAGGTGTGACAGAGGGAAGGTGAGCATGGCAGAAAAGAATGGTCAGAAGCACTAAGGGTGTGTATTCTTTCTGACTTAGTCCCCATGGTGACTCAGGAGTTCTCTCCCCCTTAAAGGCAGGCTCACCAAGGTTCCTATTCCCTGCTACTTCACTGACATTCACCTCAGCTCAATGATGCTACAATAACCATGAACAGACCTCCTTGTTTCCATCCCTGAGGTTCAATCCATTCAAATGAAATTTCCTAAATTAGCACTTCCAAAGAGTCACCCCCATGGGTAAGAACTACTTCAGTTACAGTTACAGTACAGAATTTCATTCAAGGACCTTCATATATTCCAACAACAAATTAATTTCAGCTTTATTTTTTCTCTGTCTCCCTAGTGGGGAAAACACACAATTCAAAGGTAAACAAATGAATAATCTGAGTCATGAACACTGCGAGAGAAATAGAATAGAGTGACAGGAGACCTGATGATAGAGAGCAGGACAGGGCCCGGGGTCTTGGAGTTCCCAGGGCTTTTTGGCCATGGGACAGCGGATCTGCCACTGGCAGATGGCTGCTTTCTGTCACCCGATGGCATGGTAGCTCCTCTCCTGTGCTGTGTGCAGAGCATAGAACGTGCAAACGGGAAGAGGACTCGGCAGTTTTACAGCCCAGTGATTATCAAATGCTCTGTTATTGCCATATAACATCATATAACACATAACTGGCTTGTGCAAGTGAAATCTCACAAGGTCTAAACCTCTGGATATGTTCATAGTTCCATTGAAAACCTTCGATCTGGTTTATGTTGTTTCATTTTACGGTTGAGGAAATGGAAGTACAGATGGGTGTAGAGATGAATGGTCAAAAATTAGATGCCAGGCAGGTGTGACCCATATTACAGGCAGCTTTTGATATGTGATTGGTTCATTTGGCCATCAATTTCTTCTGTCTGAAGATAGAATTGCCTTCAAAATCATTTCTTAACGTAGAGACATTGACATACTGCTCCAAATGGTATTATCTAATGTATTCATCTAATTTACTCCTAGACCTAGTTTTAGGCAGCTTTTAGTTTTGCTTCCCAAGACCAACCCAACTATAGGATAAGGATTGATAGCCACTGGCATCACACGGTACCTTGCAGGCTCAGCTCTGAATCACCTCTTCTCTTTGTGGCCCTTATCATCCTTTGTACCTCACAATGGTACATGACACATTTTGCTTGTATCATCACTATTTAAACCTTTGTCTTTTCTTCTACATAAGATGGTAAATGTCCAGGCACAGGAATTGTGTCTTAATAATCTTCGAGATACCCACTGAAAACAGTGCTCTACATCATAGTGTGTGCTCAGATCAAGTATTAAAAGGCATCACAGATTTTGACACATACTCAAGCAGAGAGAAGTATTGAAAAATTATGTTGAGCATTGATAAAATCATTGGCATATGTAGATAGCCTCCTCAGGTGGGTAGTCTTGCCAAGGAAAGCATTCATTTGAAAGTGTAAGATCTGGGATGTCATCAAGTAGATGTCCAGTGAAGGCCTGCTGTATAGGACAGGGAATTTAAAAAATATGAAGGTACAATCTGTTTGTAGGACATATATTAGGTTAACCTTAAAATTGCATTCCAATATACATTAAGTGCAGACAAATATTGTTCGATTCCACTTATACAAGATACCTAGAAGAGTTGAATTCATAATCAGAAAGTATATTGGTAGGTTCCAGGGGTTGGAGGTGGGGAAGGGGGATGGGCATTTAGAGTTTAATGGAAACAGAGTTTCAGTTTAGGAAGGTAAAAAATTCAGGAGATGGGTAATGGTGAGAGTTAATGTGAATACACTCAGAGCCATTGAACTGAATAGTTAAATACGGTTAAAATAGCATGTTTTATATTATGTGATTTTTACCACATAAAAAAGTCTGTAAGCATGATTTCATCATCATGGCACCTATTTAGTGAGTGACCATTAGGTTATTCAGACAGGATACTAGGTTTTTTAAGTAGGATTCAGGAGAAGCACAAAATACAGCCCATACCTTAACAAATCAGCAGTTTAGACTAAGAAGCAAGAGTTCAAAAATATAAAATCACGCATGTGTGTGTGTTAGTCGCTCAGTCGTGCCCAACTCTTTGTGATCCCATGTCTCATAGCCCACCAGGCTTCTATGTCCATGGAATTCTCCAGGCAAGAACACTGGAGTGGGTTGCCATTTCCTTCTACAGGAGATCTTCCCCACCCAGGGATTGAACCCGGGTCTCCTGTGTTGCAGGCAAATTCTTTCTGAACCACCTGGAAAGTCACATATAATTAATCTCTAAGTCATGCAATGGGTGTAAGTTAGACAGGAATTGAAGGGACTCATCACTAAGTGATGGCTGTGGAGGAGCGAAGGGTCCAGGCCCTGGATTTGCCACGAAAGCAACGAGTGCTGCACTGAGGCGCCAAATCATCCACGCAGACCTCAAAGGGAGCTAAAGGCTGGTCTACGCAAGGTCAAAACACAACGAGTCAGGCAAAAGAAAGAACAAAATGGACTTTCATTTTCCTATCAGAGAAGAGGCTTGGCAACACAGATCAGCAGGTTTCAGAAATTCCAGTGTCAGATGTTGTTCCTAGAGGGAAAACATTCCGAGAACTTATGAGGATGCAAAATTGTCCTCGACCAGGAAGAAATCAGCCAACAAGTTCCCAGACATTTCTCACTAGTTTGACATATCCTGCAATATACAAAGCTGACTTAGGCCATGTCATCAAGGAGATGTGGTCTATTCTTACATGAATTCTGGCTCAATAAATTAGTAATGGGAAGGGGGCAGAACTTCTGGTATAAATATGTGATGTATATGGCTTATAGGGCTTCCCTGGTGGCTCAGCAGTAAAAAATCTGCCTGCCAATGCAGGATATGAGGGTTCGATCCCTGGGTCAGGAAGACCCACTGGCNCGACTGAGCGACTGAACTGAACTGAACTGCATGTGAATGTGTGTGCACCACATCTTCTTTATCCTTTCATCTGTCCATAGACATTCAGGTTCTTCCCATGCTTCAGCTGTTGGAAACAGTACTTAACTGTGCATGTCTAAACTGATGGACACAACTTGATACTGCCGAATGTGGTGTTCAGTGCTTAGGTATTTGTTGAAAAACCTAAGATTTACACACAAAAGTTTACTGGCCACTCACTATGCTTTGAGCTCTATACCAGTTGCTTTCAGAACATGAAAGACATGCAAGGCTGATTCCTCAGCTGAGAGGAAACTACAACTGGGGTAGAAAGAATCATCAACATATTATTGATAATGATAACCTCTCACCTTCAACATCATCGCCATCACCAGCACTGCCATCATGGTGCCATCATAATTTCACCTGATTTATACAGTATTTTGTGATTTAACCTAGGGTTGTTGATGGTTATCTTTCTCTCATTTCCAAATTAGAGATATTGCATTGGGTCAGGTTGTTTTTGTACATGAGGAAAAATCTAATCTGAGAGTTTTCTAGAACTCTAGTGTTCTAGAATTCTAGTGTTTTCTAGAACACAATGTGTGCTATACATGTAGCTAAATTCTTAGCAGCCACACCAAACATATAAGTTCCTATATGTGGATGTTATAGTTTTCAATGTAGACCGTAAGAGTCCAAAGTCAAAAACAGTCTTGGAAAAACTCTTTGGAAATTGATTTCAGCAAGTTCATTGCATCCTTTGAATTTATTTGTTCTATAAAATATTTATCTTGTTAAAAATATAAACTTCAGGGATTTCCCTGGTGATCCAGTGGCTAATACTATGTACTTTCACTGTAGGGAGCATGGGTTCAATCTTTGCTCAGGGAACTAAGATCCCAGAAAAAAACCATCAAAATTATCACCTACTTTAAAATAGATAAATATATTTTATATATGTAGCTAAAAGTTTTTTGGAGTCTTACCAGTAATTTTAACTGTCAATTTGATTAGGCTACAAGGTGCTCAGATATTTGGTCAAATATTATTCTGACTGTGTCTGTAAAGGTATTTCTGGATGAGATTAACTTTTGAGTGAGTAGACAGAATAAATCAGATAGTGTGCCCTAATTTGGGCGAGCCTTGTCTGATCAGTTGAAGGCCTAAACAAAACAAAAAGATTCAATAAAAGAGATTCCTTCTGCTTGACTGCCAAGCTGGGACATGATTTTTTTTTTCCTCTTTGGACTTTAATAGAAACATCAGCTTTTCCTTCATCTTGAGTCTGTTGGGCATGGGCTGGAATGGCAATATCAGTTCTCCCAGTTCTCACACCTCTGTGCTTGGACTGAAATTATACCATGGACTCTGCTTGGGCTCTAGCTTTCAGCTTACCAACTGCAGGTCTGGGACTTGTAAGCCTCCTTAATTCCAGGAGCCAATTCCTTATAATAAATCTCACTCCTTCCCCTCTCATTTACACATACACATATATCATACACACATGCATCATACACACACACTCTCTACATATCTTGTATAAACTTCTTACATATGTATATGTATATAGATGGGATATAGGAGATAGCTAAACTGATAGATCTATCTGTTCGGTTCTCCTGGGGAACTCTTGTTAATATGAAAGCCAAACTCAAAGAACACATTAGTTGATAAGCTGGAAATGAAAGTTTGGTCACACACACCTCAAAAGATAGGTAGACAGATATATGGAGATGTTTCATCCCTTATTTGTCTTAAAGGATCAAAAACTAGCTTTGAAAATAATTTTAAAATGGGAATTCCAAGTTGATCTTGAATACTGGAGGTATTTGGCTAACTGATCACCAAATCCACTCATTCTTCTTCCTGGGGGTACACCTTGACTGCTTTTCCCAGTCTCCCTGTGGGTGACTGAGTCCTGATGTATCTACTCCTTCCACTTATGGCCCATAAATACCTCCCACAGAAAAGTCTTCGTGTTCTTCTCTGCTCAGTGGAATTCAGTCATATATTGAAGACAGTGCAACATGAAACAGAAGAAACCTGTGTCCCTCCTCTCAACTGGAGGAGACCTGCCCTGGAGAACTCCTTTTGGATTTTACATGAATGAAAAATAAACTTATGTTTATGGAGCTAATGAAATGTTGGGAGTGCACCAGTAGCTGGTATTACTAAGTGATAAACAGCATTGTCAGGATAAGAGCAGAGGTGTTACTGTTGGAGAATGAGGTCATGTGAATTTATAACTTCTGGGATGTCTGCTTAAAATATCCATCTCTGGGACTTCCCTGGTGGTCCAGTGGTTAAGACTCTGAGCTCCCAATGCAAGGGATGTGGATTCAATCCTTGGTTGGGGAATTAAGATCCCACGTGTATGTGATTCATCCAAGAAAATTAAAAAAAAAATTCTATCTCAAAATCTAGGAATTCCACCTTCACTTATTAGAATCTAGTTACCTGCCTTTGTTGCTTGACATGTAGATATATAATTTGTTGTCGTTGTTTAGTTGCTAAGTCATGAGGGACTCTTTGTAACCCCATGGACTGTAGCCCGCCAGACTCCTCTGGTCAGCGAATCTCCCAGGCAAGATACTGGAGTGGGTTGCCATTTCCTTCTCCAAGGGATCTTCCTGACCCAGGGATTGAACCCGTATCTCCTGCATTGCAAATGGATGGATTCTTTACTGATAAGCCATCCAGGAAACCCCAGATAATTAATTAGGAGTCAAAAAAAAAGAAAAGGATAGATGATTTGGTTTGAAAACCTAGTCTTAGATTCAATCTACTTAAGTCACCTTATTACACTAAACCAATTTCATTGCTTATTTGATTCAAACAAATTTGAATCTTTAAACCATAGTTACAGTGGGCTATACAGGAAAGAATATTGCATGGGGTCGTAACACCTGAACTGGAATCCTAGATTTACTATTTATGGGTAAAGTAAACTCTTCCCTGGTGGCTCAGAGGGTAAAGCGTCTGCCTGCAATGCGGGAGATCTGGGTTCAATTCCTGGGTTGGGAAGATAACCTGGAGAAGGAAATGACAACCCATTCCCATTACTCTTGCCTGGAAAATCCCATGGACGGAAGAGCTGAGTAGGCTACAGTCCACGGGGTCGCAAAGAGTCGGACACGACTGAGCGACTTCACTTTCTTTCAAACACTTCAAGTCTGTTATCTCACTTTTAAATATAAGTGGGATTATAGGAACTTCCCAGGTGGTCCAGCAGTTAGAACTTCACCTTCCAATGCAAGGGGGTGCAGGTTTGATCCTTGTCAGATACCTAAGATTCCACATGCCTTATGGCCAAAAAACAAAAACATAAAACAGAAGCAGTATTGTAACAAATTCAGTAGCAATTTTAATAATCACCCACATCAGAAAAAAAAAAAAAAAAACCTTCAAAAAAAAAAAAAAAAAATGGAATCATAATATTCCTCACTACATTGTTGAGAAGATCAAGGTGCTACACTTTCAAAGTGAGAAAATATTTCTGTCTGTTTTCCAGGTGACAGAAATATCAGCCCTGTTTAGGGGGATGCTGAATAGCAAACCCAGCAGGTTTCACTTGCTCATGTCCACACGCAGAGGTAAGTTGCTCTGTGCCTGGATCCCCTGGCCTTCCAAGAACCTGGGACTCTCAACTTGTAAGGGCCCAAATAGATGCCTGTGGGTCTCAGTGACATATTTCAGTTGGAAGGCTTGTTGCAAGCAAGCACTTGAGTATCCTGGAAGGGTAAGACCAGAAGACTGAGACCTGTGAATAAATTAAATGAGAAGGGAATGCTTGAATGAGTGGAGCAGACTGCTGGTGCCTCCCTTATCTTACTCTCTACAAGCCTGGACTTCAGAGCGCACTGTGACTCACATCAATGAAATAACTAAAAGCAAAGGTCAAGTTGTGAATTACAGAGTGGAGAGAAAAAGAAACAATGGCAAAATCTGGAGAAAAAAAATGAAGTGAAAGAAACCATCTTCTCATGCTTTTCATCCTTGGATGAGTGTACATTCCTTGCCCCCATTGGAAAAAAACATAATGATGATATAGGAAAGTGATCTAGAGAATGGAGTTTGGGGTCAGAAAATGCTGAGTTAGCACTCAGTTTGACCACCTCTTCTCTGTGTTACTTTAGAAAATCTCCTTAACTCTAAGTAGCCTCCATTTTCTCATCTTATGTCTAAGGACTGCTGAGAAGTAAAAAATATTTTGATGCAGGTAAACATTTCAGCACAGTCCCTGGCACAGGGTGAGAATATTATATGTTAGCTTTTGCTGATTTGAGCTTCACCTTCAACATCATTTTGGTTTATGCATTACAGGCTACCCACCCTGTCATCTTCTCCATTAGATCAAATCATTGCATGGAAGTCTCCTCACTCAGCTTCTATCCCAAATTGTTTCTCCCTCCATGGGCTTGGGTGTTGAGTTTCTATGTAGGCTTTGGGCTTAACTACAATCTTTGTCAGTCACAGACTGGACGAGATGGAGTGGAAGAGCCATCTGTCTCCCAGAATTTAAAAAATTGTGAAAGGCAACAATGGCACCTGAAAAAAATGATGAAGTATGAGCACATGTTCTGTGTTTGATGCTATAATCCTTATGGAATAACATTTATCAGTAGTTCTGATGTTGTAGTTTGGAACCTGGAGTCTGGTCCATTCCAAATCCACCACAATCTCACAGTTCTTGTCCTCAGCCCCACACCAATCCTCATCTTTGTTATCATTTATACATGAGTCTCCCTTTAACGGAGAAGGCAATGGCACCCCACTCCAGTACTCTTGCCTGGGAAATCCCATGGACGGAGGAGCCTGGTAGGCTACAGTTCCTGGGGTCGTGAAGAGTCGGACACGACTGAGCGACTTCACTTTCACTTTTCACTTTCATGCATTGGAGAAGGAAATGACAATCTACTCCAGTGTTCTTGCTTGGAGAATCCCAGGGATGGAAGCCTGGTGGGCTGCCATCTATGGGGTCGCACAGAGTCGGACACGACTGACGTGACTTAGCACTCCCTTTAAAGGTTGGTACCATGTCTTTTGATACTTACTATCAGTCTTCTTCACTCAGTACCTAGTGTGATGTTGTGGCTGCCATAGACACTTAGTACAAGTTGTAAATAGGATAAAAGGCTTAAATAATTTTGAACTGATTCATAGCTCAAGAGATATATCATTATTATCCAGGCCATTGGATATTCATGATGAGAGCTTGAATAAACACATGAGGTAGTCAACATTTTCTTAGTACCTACTTTCTGCCTGTACTGTATATTTTTCCTTTCCCATATTTCACCTATCCTTCAACTAGACATAGAATTGATTAAACATATGTTTAATAGTATCCATTTTTTCTGCTCAAAAAATACTTCCTCCAACAATATTTTAAATTATATACAATAATAATATATATTTTGTGAACAAGGAAGACCTTTTGGAAAGTTATAGAAGAATCATCAGTTGTTCTTACTTAAGGGCAGATAGTTTAATCATTTTGCTTTCTGAACATTTGCTGAGGCGCTCTGAAAG